TGAGCCTGGTCGTTTGTCACTGAACGCTCCCTGGGACTCTGCAATACTCAGCATAATTGACACCTGTAATTTTGCCAAATTTCAGCTCAAGTTAACAACTGTCTATCTGCCCCTAAATGCCTCCAGTAATTTAAATAGGTCCAGCACACTTCTGTATTGGCTGCTTCATGGGCTTCATAATTCTGTGTTATTCTCCATGCTGTATGGGATGTATGAAATTCTGTTGGTACTGTGGTTTTCAGACACAAGCAAAGCAAGAGTTAATTCTTATTTTTGTTGAAGTACTAAGTGGGAAGCTAGGTCATGCATAAATCCTCATTGTGCTAGGTGCTGTACAAGCAAAGAATAAAAATGATCCCAGGCTCAAGGCTGCTCTGTTAGTAGCTTGTGTCATAATTAAATTTTGTTAGGACACTTTAGAATTTCCCTTCCTCGTAAATGAAATATCCATATACATTTATATCTCCATAATAAAAGAGAAAACCTGTACACTTTTATTGTGGATGATAAAAAAGAAAATATATTACTGCTTTCCGAGTAACTTGAATGTAGCAATTGGAATATGTGGGGGTGACAGAAAGGATCTTTGTTTCTTGTATACTTCTAGGTTATATAGACCTAAAGTTGTCAACTTTATAGAAAAAGGAAGAAGTACTTGTTGTGAAAATAGTCTCATATGGAGCATGCAGAATTCAGGTGGAGAGCACAGAGCAGGAGCTGGTGCCCTTTAAAAATCAAATATTGTGTCTTCATGAATAAAGCTTTGACGATAAAGATAAGAGAAGAAAATCCAGCAACCATGCGATATATTAGCAGAATGTTTTACAAAGTCCCCCCACAAAGCACCCGCTGGTCTTGAAAAGCCTAACCAGCCTAAGTGAGAAACTATTCACAAATTTAGTATTCAGATTACATAGTCTGCCTTTTCAACTGCTCTCTGTACAATGAATGCCTGTACAACTACAGTAACAGACACAGATCTACAGTTTCTGTGGCCTTTGAGCTATTATGAGTATTATGCCTCTCCATAAATTACATCTGCATGTCCTGAAAATACCAACTGTTTTAATAGGAATTAATCCATAGGCTTTTATCTTGGTGAAATACACGGGGTACAGTATGTTGTGTCCCTTTTAAAATTAATAGAGTACGCTCTGAAGGTATTCAAGGATGTTCATTATTTTCTTTATAGGTCTCTTTATTGATGCATATAAGCATAAAACAGTGCTTCACTGTAGCAGAGAGGAGGAGATGGAATAAAGGATAGATTAGTGCTTATATGGTTTTTAGGTTGCCCAACGCACAGTTAAGTAAAGAAAGGTCTGTGTTTGTCCTCTTCAAAGTATATTGGGACTGGATCCAGTTTGTCTTCAAAGTGCCCCTTCTGTGGGTAGAGAAGAGAGGGTTCAGTCTAACAGCCAGAAAGCGATGCAGGGGTCTGCTGCTCCGCTGTGTTCGCTGCTGGCCGAGGCAACAGTGTGTCAGATGCCTCTTTTTTAATTTGCTAAGTATAAATAAGTGTGCAGCTTATGCTGTGGTGAGATACTATTTATGTGAGCACCTAATAGGAGCTTTTGGGCATGAACTCACAGAACACCTTGACCTTATATAGGCATATAAAAAGAAGAGAATTGGAAAATTTAAACCAGAATTTACATAAAAAGCACGGTGGTTCTTTTGAATAGTAATTCTCACTCGCGTGCATGTGCACACGCATGCGCATACAGGGGTGAAGTGTTTAAAAATTTGGCTGAGAACAGGCTGAGCTCATCAAACCTACCAAAGCACTTTGCTGTCAAATGATGAGGAATTAAACTCTCCAGCACACAGGAGGGGCATTGAGGCCCATGGAGACTGAGCACATGCCTGGGAGGACATTATGGGTCTCCAGTAGGTGGCTGTCGGCACAGCCTGTGATCCCTGGGACAGCTGGCCCAAGAGAGGCAGGGCTCACAGGAGCTCCAGAAATGGCCCTTTCAGAGGTGTGCCAGAGAGACCTCTGTAATACGACAGAACTCCCTGACAAAGCTGAGGATCACTCCTGGGACACTGCTTGACAGGAAAAGAACTCTCATTGCAGTAATTTCTCCATTTTAGAAAAGGAGAACTGAAACAGGAGATAATGACTTGGCTGAAATTACGCGGAGGACCTCTGGCTGTGTTTGGATTTGAGTCCTGGTCTCTTGATCCCCAAGCCATCACTTGAGCCTCAAGATCATTGCAGCTGCTCTGCGGAGTTTGTTGATGTAAATCACTATGGAGCTCTTGCTGCATCCACCAAGCCTTCTACACTGAAACCAGTGATTCACCCCTGTGCTGCTGTAGCCAGGACGTGCTCATCTCTGCAGCCCTTGGAGTTCACAAGCTGGTTTTTGAAGGCGAGCCCTGTCACCTTATTCTCTGCCCCTTGCTTTTCCTTAGGTCACTCCTTCTTGTTTTCACAGCTTTGTTTGGTTTCAAAAGCTGATGGAGCAGCAGGATTAAAAAAATCAGAAATATTTACCGTAGAGGATGGGTCTGGCTTTTCCCATCAGCTTCCATGGCTCAAGCAGGTTCTAACAGCTTTGGGAGAAAAGCTGTTAGCTATTAAATTATTACCTGTAAGGAGAGCCAGCTGGAAGCTTTCAGTTTTCAACATTTTGATGAAAAGCACCATAAAAAGCTTGACAACAAGACTTGTAGCATTTCAATGACATGTTTTGCATTTGTCCCTGCTTTTTAATGGCCTGTAAAAGTGATCAAAGGCTTCAAAATGCTGCTGAGACCCACATCTCAGGAATTTTGACCCCCCAAAATGAAGGCGGGGGGGGGGGAAGCAAAACTCAGAGTGTGTGCTGTTGGGGGAATTCATTTGGATAGCTTTTGGGAAGTCATTTCCCATCTGGAGGAGAGTGTCCACAGGGAGAGTTATTCGGCATAAACTGTTATGGTATAATTACCCAGCTCCAGCTATGCCGGTCTATTTGCTGGTGTAGGCAAGCCAAGTCTAGTTGTTGAAACGTAGGCGTGGGAAACAAGAAGTGTGCTTTCTAGGCTCAGCTCTTTGGCCTTGGGCCGGTCCCCTAACCTTTCTGCCTCCTTCCTATGCAAAATGAGAAGAGTTAAATTAACCCACTTCACAGGTGTGGTGTAATGACTAATTGGCTAAAATTTGTAGCGCTGGGGAGAGAGAGAGCTGTTGATTAACTTCCGTGTCTTGGGCTGAGTGAATAATTTGGTGTCTTTCTCCAAAGTGGTGTTTGTCTCACTCTCAGGATTGGGTGGCTCGTTTGATGTGAAGTGACAGTGCTAAGAAAACCTGGGGTTTGCCTTGTTGTCTAACAACAGTATTGCACTTGTGTGTAGTTAGACCAAGAGCTAAGGCTTTTGCTTCAAGATTTTGCAGTTAAGATTTTGCTTGAAAGCAAAATTTCCAGGTACTCAGAGCCTTTGATACAAAAAGAATGTGGGTATGTAGTGATGGAGATACTTTAGTGCATGTCTGAAACTCAGTGGTAAAGTGCATGTGTTACTCCCCTTAGTACCAATGAAAATCAAGGATAACTCTCCACTATTCCCATGAGTTGCTCTGTTGGGTGAAGAGGCTCAAGGGTGTATGGGCAGCCTGAATTATGATGCTTCCTAGTGTTTGCGTGCTTAACTTTGCAAATTTAAATTTAATAATACCTGCGTATATCGCGCATGACATACATAACCTCAGCTCCTTAATGGACAGTAAATTCTGGTGTCTCATGATGGCATTGCCACGGCCATCAGCACCTGGCAGCTCAAAGAGAAGAAACCAGGACAATGCTATTGCATCTGATCCAGGACCCGTGGAGAGCAGAGAAAACTGTAAGGAAGCACATCAGACATTCACCCTCAGCCAGCTGTGGTGGGTTTGGGTCAGGCCTCTGAGTGGGTCTGTGGGGGTAATTCCTCACTTAGGGGGATGCCCCTTCACTGTGGGGATGTTCTCTCACTTATGGGGTGTCCCCTCACTGTGGGGATAATCCCTCACTTATGGAGTGTCCCCTCACTGTGGGGGTAATCCCTGATTTATGAGGGATCCCCTCACTGTGGGGGATGTCCCTTCACTGTGGGGAACACTCGGGGCTGTTCCTTCAGCCTTGGCTGTGGGGCAGCATCAGGGTTTCCCTCAGGACAGTAATGGTGATTTTTTTCCCCTTTCCCCACCACATCGACTTCTCGGGAGGGGGGGGGTGGAATGGCACGTAGAATCTTGATTGTAACCAGGTTGTCTCAACATAAACGGACCACAAACTCCGCTCGTATTTACCGTGAACGTTTAATTAAGTAACAAGCCCGGCAGCGGCGCGCCCCTCCCCGCCGGCCGCCCCCCGGCCGATTATAAATAGAAGTGCTGAATCATGACTCCGCCGGCCCCTTCCCCCGCCCGGCGGGCGCGGAGCGCGGTGCCCGGGCTGTGTGAGGGGTGCCCGCTGAGGGGCCGCCCCGCGGGGCCGCGGCCGTGCCCTGAGGGCGCGCGTGCCCGCCCGCCCGCGTGAGGCGCGGGGCGCGCTCTGTGGCGGCGGCGGCGGCCGCACTTGTCCTGTAATCGATTGCCGAGCGCGCTGAGCGGCCTCTCGCCGGCTGCGGGCACCCGCCCCCCGCCGCGCCGCGCCGGCCCCGCGGGGCTGCGGGAGCCCCGGGGCGGGGACGGGAATGTGTGTGGGGCGGCCGCGCGTGGGACCGCGGGGGTGTGAGGGACCGAGCGTGAGGAAGGGTGTGCATCTGTGTCCGTGTGTGAGGGAGGGAGTGAGCGTGCGAGGGAGGGAGTGTGTAAATCTGTGTCCGTGTGTGTGCGTGTGAGGGGGAGACTGAGTGTGAGGGAAAGAGCGCGCGCGCGTGCGTGTGTGTGTGTGTGTGTGAGACGGAGCGTGTGAGGGCGGGTGTGTGTGCGCGTGTGTCTGTGGGAGGGAGGGAGTGCGCGCGTGTGTGTGAAGGAGGCAGTGAATGAGCGTGTGTGTGTGTGTGAGGGAGGCAGTGAATGAGCGTGTGTGTGTCTGTGTGTGTGAGGGAGGGAGGCAGGGAGGGAGCGCGGCCGCCGCCGCCGCCGCCGGATCGGTTTCTCGGGGTTTGACCAGCTGTCCCAGGCTAACCCTCTGCTCTCTGAAGATGGAGGAAGTAAAAACAGGATTACCCTTAGCTACGGCTCCTCCGCCGCCTTAGTCCCCCCACAGCCAACTGCCGTGCACAAACACACCTCCACTGGGCAGAGGGAGCCGACACTAATAAACACACAAACAAAAGGGGGATGGAACTGACTCACTGCCTGCGCGGCTGAGGTAAATCTGCGCCTGGCTTCTTATTATTTCTCTCTTTTTCTGTTCTTTTTTTTTTTTATTATTATTTTGTTTTTTCCCCTCCTCCCCTCCTCTCCCTCCCCAGTCCCCCTTTCCCCGGCGGGAGGAGGGACAGCTCCGTCCGGTGCCGGGGGTACGCGGGGCTCGGTCCGTCCGTGCGGGTCTGTGTGTGCGGAGGGTCCCCGAGCCGAGCGCGGCTGTGCAGCATCCCCGCGGGCGCCGATGACTTGTTGCTGGTAGCCCAAAAAATAAAAAATAATTTAAAAAAAAAAAAGACCACAAAGACCAGACGAGCCCGGGGCCGGAGCCTTGGCGGGTCTCCCCGGTCCGTTACCCAGCCCGGCCCCGCTGCCATTTCCCTCAGCACCCGCCGCCACCTGCGCGCCCCGGGGGGCTGCGGCCTGCGGCGGGGGGAAGGGGGAAAGGGAATGGAATGACAAGCGAGGCAGGACTTCCATGACTTTGACAGGTTGTGGCAGGGGTGGGGAGCGGCAGAGATGAGACGCGGAGCCCGGCGTCGCCCAGGGCCGGAGCGGGGAAGTTGGCCCGGCTCTGGTGCGCGGGGTGTGAGTGCGCCCGCCGGGCCCCCCTCGCCCCATCCCGCCCCGCATCCCCTCACCCCATCCGCCCCGCATCCCCTCCGCTCCCCCCGATCCCGTGCCGATCCGTAAGGAACCGGTGGATCAAGTTTTCCTCTCTCTCTCTCTTTCTCCCCCTCTCTCTCCGTCTCTCCGCGCTGGTTAATCGCATTGCTGTAGCAGCGGCTGACCTCCCTCCCTCCCTCCCTCCCTCCCTCCCTCTCCCTCTCTTTTTTTTTTTTTTTTGTTCTTCGTCTTCCTTCAAAAGTATGTGCCATTCCTGAGCGAGTTTCCCCGCCGGCTCATCCCGGGGCTTCCCGGCTCCCCGGCTCCGCATGCCCCACCTGTAAGTGCCGGGGGCGGGTTTCTCTCCCCTATCCTTCTCTCCCTCCCGGTCTCTCTCTCTCCCCCCGCTCCTCCCGCCTATAAAAAAAATATTTTTCCTAAACTTTCTCCATCTTTCTGTGTCTTCAGCTCGAGCGAAACACTCTCCCTCCATTCGTTGTGGAGAGAGAGGTTTAGCAGCTGGGATTTGCCATCACCAGCCTAAAAATGGTGACCAAACTTTTTCTTTCCCCCCTCCTTTTCCTTCTCCTCTCCCCCTTGAAGAAATAAAAAAAATTAAAATCAGGCCGTGTTCTAACTTCGGTTATGGATGTTTCTGTGTTTCTTTTTGTCTTCCTTTCTCTTCCTCCTCCCTTCCTCCCCTTTCTTTCCTTCCACTTCATTGGCTGGGATGATCTTTCCCTGTTGCTTCTGATGTTTCTTTCTTTTTCTCAGTGTGTGCCTGCCTACCTGGACTAGGGGGAAGATAAGGTAATTTTGAAGGGCTTGAGGAAGTGGTTTACCTGTTCTGAAAACTTCTGGGGGTTTTTGAGATTTCTTTTTAAGAGTCATGAAAATCAGTAATTGAAGAGTTTGGTAGCAGCTGGGCAGGTTGAAATTTAAGTGTTATGTGCTGAATGCCTTGGGAATTTGATCTGCTTTATACCAAAGAAGAGCACAGAGAAAAGTATTTATTTGTTGGGGAAAGGCGGGGAGCAGGGGGGAAGGAAAGAGGGTTGAGGGAGGGGGAGGGAAGTGGTTTTGGAGACAAGAAGTGAAGCTGCCTGTTTTCCAGTAAGTAATGGAGAAATTCCAGGAGCCAGGGCTAAATATACTTGGCGATCAATACAGAAATGGCTCATTGTGAATAATTTAGCTGCCTGGTGCAGTGAGAGTTTTGAAACTAAAGGCAAAAAAGAGGCTGTGGAGGGAGAGAGGAAATAAAATTCTCCTCTGGTCATGTCAGATTCTTAACTTTTCCACTTAAAAGAACATAGTTATGATTATTGATCCCTCTCTTATTCCCCCCCCCCCCCAATATATATCAAATGATAGCTAGGGGGTGTCATTCTATACAGTTACTTGGGTTTCGGGAAAGTAATAGCTTGTTCTGTGTCAGCAAAGTGCTTCCAGAAACTTTAAGATTGCTTCACACCACAAAATGTATGATCTGGGAGTTTTAAGTGTGATGTTTGGCCCCGTGCTGTGGTAGATAAATAGGATTGGAATGAACAGGTGTGTGTACAGGTGTGTGTGTGTGTGTGCACAGAGGTGTGAGACAAAGAGCTGGAACAGCTCTGTTGAAGGGGAACAGACACAGGAGGGTTTATTTTGTTTAGATCAGGATGGAGTCTCTTGTAGTGTGTGTGAAAAGAGCAATTGTTAAAGGTATCCATCTCCTCAAACTCTGTTCTGGCTGCAAGAGCAGATAAAGCATTACCATCCCAGCTTGAACAAAACAAGTGGAAAGTCAGAGAAAAAACTCTCAAATCGGGCAAAAATGTGAGTGGGGCACAGAGAGAGGGGGATGGTCAGATCAGGATGATCCCAGTGCCACCTGCCCAAGAGGCAGCTGCATTTCTTTACTCACATAATTTACAGGAAGAGTTCAGTGATTTGCAAACGAGCACATGCAATGCACTTGTGTGTTTCTCTAGGCAGTGGTTGCAACAGCAGTAAAATGGGCAACTACTTAGGGCTTTAAGTAAGTTTAATCATTTAATGGTTGATACTGACAGGAGTCTCTGAGGGTGTACTTTTCTGCCTTGCAGCACTGCACTTTGACTATGGAAGCAGAGGCTGCTGATGGATATATAACATGTAAGTAGCCATTTCATTTGATTATTCTGAATTACTTTTCTTTTCCCACTATCCTTTCTATAATGCAGTCACCTGAAACTTTAGGTTCCTTATGTATGGTCTTTGCATTGATACTGAATTAATAGCATTTAAATATAAGCTCTCTGTATGACTGAGAAATGCATGGGGATGGGTGCATGGGTGAGTATCTCTAGGTTTAAATGTTTGCTGGGGGTAAATGAACTTAGCAAATGAGAGAAAGTTTGTCTTCAGAAATTCGAATTGCAGCCAAAACCTTTTTATGCCTTTCCCTATGCATTTCTCTTGTTTTCTTTGTGGGGGTTTCTGTAAGTGCTTTGTTTGACTGTCAGTTAACCCTGAGCTTTGGGGGGAAGGTCTGTATGGTGAAGTACTGTTCTAGTCTTCCCCTGCCCAGCCTGGATTGTCGGTGTCTGCTAATGGAAAAGTAATCCTAACTCACTTGAAACCAAGCAGCTGGGGCAAAGTTTGTCACAGGTGTGTGTGTAAAAGACTGGTGACAGTGGGTATGAGGGGGCTCTTAAAAATCAGTCAAATGTTTGTTTGTGCCCAGTGGGAGTCCAGATTTTACAAGCTCTGGGAAGACCCCACCAGTAAAGGAGGGAAGGGCAGGGGTGAAGGGAGCAAGCGGGTTGTAGTTCTTGATCTTTATGCAACTCTGCTGAAGAAGGGGATGGAAACTCACGGGGAACTTGTTTTGTGCACACAGGTGACAATGACTATTCTCCTGAGAGGGAGCACTGCGGCATGGCCATTGACCTCACCTCCAGCACTCCCAATGGCCAGCACGCCTCCCCCTGTCACATGGCAAGCAGTAAGTCTCCTCTTAAGCCTGTTTCTCTCTAGCAGAGGGTTGGGTTGGTCTGGTCCTCCGGGTCCTCGGCTTGCTTACCGGGTCTTAACCACTGCTGTAGGCATTGCTAATAGCAGAGGAGGACAAGGGAATTTTGTTGGGTTTTGTTTTGTTGGTTTTTTTCTTTCTTGTTCATGCTGGTGTCTCATCTAAACATGAACGGGATTACTAGTCTGAACTATCCTAAGGTGGCATTTGAGAGCTGGTCCTTACCTGTTCCAGGTAGGAAAACACTAGGCTTGACATATGCTGGTTTTGTTTCCTCAGGTTTTGAAATCCAAATGGAAGTTGGTGTTATTATTACTTACTGTGCTTCCCAAAACAGCTTGAAGTAGCTTTATTTGAAAACAAACACATTTTATTTACAAAAAAGCTTCACTCTGGCAAAAGTATGAAGTTAAAATATCTGGGTTTGATGACAGGTTGTATTTTACTGTTCCATACAGTAGCTTCAGCATCCTATTCATTACTTCAGCTTTGCCTTTGCAAGTCCAAAAGTGGCTGGGATAATTGGGAGTTTATGGCACTTGGTCGTTGACTCTAACAAACTGAAAGGATTTTGGTTTAGAATGTCGGGGAGAAACTCAGAAAATGTAGAGTTTTGGGAGTCTACTGAGAGTGTCAAGTGCTGATAATATTTCTGTAATTATTCTCATGCTGTCTATTGGAGGTGGATAAATATAGTTTACACACATTTCATAAAAGCGACATTCTCTCTTTTCCGTGTGTGAGTGCTGTAGGTTGTTTTACTGGTGGCTACAGTGTTACATCAAGATATTTACCTTAATGTAACCTCTCTACTTGTATTCAAGAAATCGTGTAATATGCTTTGCTTCCAACATACTTAATTTTCTTTCTGGTTTGTGTGTGCTAGAGATACATATCTATCTTTTTAAACAGGGTATTTGTATAATACCCCCCCAGAAACTGTATGAAAAAAAAAATAAAACCAAAACCAGAGCTTTTAGGGTTGCTAGCTTGAAAATACACAGTATATTGACTTCAAAGTTTTTCTGATTGAGAAAAAGATGTTGCTTTCCTTAAGAATTCTTTCCTCCTGCAAATTATGAGTAAAACACAGTTTTATGAGCCTTTAAAAATGAGGGTTATTACAAAGATCTCCCAATTATATACATGTTGCTGGAGAATATGATTGGTAATACTGTGGACTGAACTTTATATGACAACCGCCCATAATTCAGCATCTTTAGACAATTCCAGTTGTACGGCACTGGGAGTCTGATATACTTTATTATGTTGTAAAAGTTTTACTACTCACTTTCTTCATTTTCTTTGTTTCCTTTTTATTAATGGGAAGGCTTCATTGGAAGGGAAAAAATCTCCGTGTTTTAAATCTTCTTTATAATCTAGACTAAAAATCAGAGTCAAATTGGGGAATAAAAAGATCTGGGATGAAGCAGTGCAAAAACTCTGTAACACATTCGGTATTTTCGTGTTCATTGTGTTAACATTTTCAGTGGTTTTTAAGCTTTGTTAGTTCTTGCGACACACATGTATCTGCAGCCTCGGTGAATATCTTGTTGTTTTAGAGGTGTTTTTTGGTCTCTCAAAGGTGTCTCAGATGCTTTCACCACTGCTGCTCTGTGTTAAGCATGTGCCGCTGTTGAAAAATTAAGGGCTCTGCCTGACTTTCCCAAGCCAAGCAAAACTCAAGCTTCTTAAATTTGTTGTAATTTATTCACTCTTTGCAGGCTGAAGAATGTTTTTCAGAGAGGCGGTTTGTGCTGCCTTGAACATGGGAGGTATTGATCAGAGGTTGTCGGCTTTTGTGGCAGCTGTTATGTTGGTTCATTTAAGGTTTTTGGCCAAATCTCGAATCTGGCATGTGTAGGCTAAATCTCCAGGCTGTGCTTTAGAGCTTTCCACCTGTTTTGCGGGGCATGGGAAATCCTTTTAAAGGTTTGGTAACCCAGGGACCCGTGACCTCTCTTTTTTTTTTTCTTTAAGGAGTGGTGGGGATGGGGGGGTAAGGAGGAATAGCTGTTTGAAATATTTTTTATGAATTCGGTAGCTCCAAATGGATTGATCCATCATCCATAGTTTTAAGTGGAGGAAGTAGCAGTGTTATATTTCTGTATGGTCTGATGTCCAGTGGGTCACTGGAGACTCAGTGATGTTGGCTGCTGTTATAGTGAAGCCCAGAGCATATCATTCTGGCTGGGTAGGGCTTCCTAATGGAGGAGGTGACATGGGGATCAGACCCCAAATTCCAAACATTTCACTCCTGGTTTGGTTGCTCGTCATCCCCAGGAATGGATGGCCCTATTTGGCTGTGTGCTCTGGATGTGCACCTGCAAGGTAGAGATCTAAGTTTTCACCTTTGTTCTTGCAGTCCATTAAATTGTTTTGAACCACAGCTCTTAATTTAGTCTGAATTTGTGTCTGACTCAAAAGGAGAAACACCATGAGAAGGAAATTTCTTGGATCTGCACCGAAATGACTGAGTAGTGCTCTCCCAGCAACAGCAAAATTATGTGCTGGGTAAAGAGTTTTTTAGTTCATTAGCCCTTGGCAATGTGTTACTACTTCTGTCTGGGCTACTGATGTTTTCAGGTTTGATTCAAAAAGGTTTTGGGTTAAATGTTTTGGCTGCTGCATCCTTTAGCCTATTATCATTTTCAAGTATCTAGATTATATTTGTAGGTTATGGATGGGGCTGACACTCAATTTTCCTTGTGAATGAGGTGATCCTGAAAGATGAATCACGCTAAATCGCCTGTCATAGCTAACTGATGATCTTACAGATACCTGCCTTTAGCAGAACACTGCATGTGTGTTGGCAGATGCTCTGTTCTAAAACACTCTATTGTAGTTTTATGTAAGCAAAGATTTCAAATACATGTAAATAGTCAAGTCTAATAGGTTGATAGATCATCTCACTTCTCTCTACAGCAAAAGACAAATTAGTGTTATACCTGCTGAGTATAGATGATATATTTACATAGCCCCAAATCTGGAAGTCCAGGTTTTCTTCTGATCTTCTGCAGGAAAACTCTTCCAAAGGCTGACGCCCAGAGCTGGGCGTCAAAGGCCTGCTCAATTAACTTTGTGTTGGTACTAGAGGGTTCTCTGCATGGCCCCAAGCCCTCCTGCAGACCCCACCGAGTTCAAGGGAGTCGGTCTTGTTGCCTTCAGTGAGTGCTAAACTGGGCTATAAGTGATCAGAAACCTCCGAATGGGAGCTGGCATGCTAATTAAAGGCTAATGGGGAATCCTTATAAAAGAGGCTTTAAAAAGAAATAATTCCCAGTCACCTCCTCATAATACCACACTGAGTTCTTACTGCAGTTATTAGAGATATTTTTTTTCCCTGTAGGTTAAAATGGACCTAGAGGAATGTCTGCTTTAGAGACTGCAGGGGCACAGTCATTCAATTAGTTGACTCAATCAATTCTTTGTATAGGATGAAGGATACTTCTCTAAGATCACTTGCCTGGTATCATATGGAAAATAGTAACAGCAGCTATTAGCATCTGACAGTCAGTGGCAGAGGCAATTTCCCCTTAAATTAGAGACTTGACAGTGGGTGTCCCAGTTAACTTTCTTATCTTTCCTTTCACGGACAAAAGGAGCCCTCAAATGAAACAGAGTCAGAACAATCATAAATATCAAACCCAACATCTGATGTTTTAAACTGATTAAAATTGTGGTACACTTTCAAGAGGTGTTTATAGTAGCTTGAAGTGTTACTAAGTTATGAGAATTAATTTATTAAGAAAATGAGCCATGTCGGCTGACGCTGTTGCAGAAAATAATGAGGGGACTGCATTTTCTTTGTGGTGGGTAACAATCACTCTGTCTGACAAGACGGCTAATTGGGACAACAGTATTAAGGGTAAATGATTTCAGCAGCGATATTTAAAGTGAACTTGGGCAAGGTTTTATTATAGTGTAACCGATACTATATTCCCAGTGATCGGGGTGGACTATCAGTTGCACTGTTTTTTTGTAACATCAGAGCCCCAAATCTTTCTCGATTACTTTCATTTTTCAACTCTGAATTGTCATACAACCCCTGTTTTGTCACAGTTATGTTGCCCCTAGGAGAAAGTTATGTGTACCATAGCTGTATCAGCACATCTGTAGGGATAAAGAAACATAACTGTGGAGCCTGCCTTTTGGAATGAAACTGCGTAAAATTAGAGATTGTTCCATGCCTCTGTGGCAAACAAGCCTTATCATCACCAGAGTGCCCTGCCCAGGCACATGAGGATGGACCTTACACTGGGATTCTTTCTGGCTCAGTATGTGTTGTGGTTTTTTTTAGTAGGATGAGGTGATGAAGGCTGAACCTCTGCAGGAGGCTTTTCTTTAGGGAGGATGGTTGAAGCTGGTTGGATTGGGCTGCAGAGGGGGACTGAATTGGTGCTTTGAGGCAGTCACTCCCCTGACATGTGCACTGGGGCATGAAGAATTCTGTCTCCAAAACTTCTGTGCTCTGAACTAGGGATTTAGGTCTCCAGTTCCTCCAAATATCTTGGAAAGTGTGAAACATGGCATATGGTGCTAAAAATTCAGACCAGATTACCTCAGGATGCTGAGGAATCTCCTCTCCTCCGTAGTTAAGGAGTAGGGTAGGCAGCATCTATTGGTCTGGGTATCTTTGATCCTGCCTCAGTGCAGAGAGGTGGACTTTTGACAGTCACTTGAGATGTCCTTTGGTCTTCTGTGTCTGACTTTGCAACCTTGACAGTTTGTTTGGGGAGCTCAGCTGTGGAATCGCACGATGATGCCCGATACAGACATACCTGTGGTTTTGCAGGTTGAAGGACAGTGAAGATGGACTTTGCCAAGATGAGCTCAGACATGAGGGATGAGCTCAATAAAGTCTGGCAGGGAACTGTAAGTAGTGAGGTCCTTTGTCACTCACAAGAGCACTGTCTGTGCTTCAGTCTTTTATCTTAGACTCCCTGAGAATTTCCAGGGCAATAACAGTCATC